ACCACTAAGAAGAATATATGCAGTGTATTATTTGTTGAAACTGTACTTCCGATTTGATTTGAAACTGTCTCATTGCTATCTGTTTATCAATAAAACTTTGGAAAAAAATACTTAGCAAGTTTCTTATAAGGATTGGATATAGTGTATGTAAATGGTCCTTAGCCCACTATCTAGATTCCTAGTAAGGAGAGACTGCTAGGATTACTACAATTAATGCTGAAGTGTGCTCAGCATTGTCCTGATGACAATGTGTATAAATTCATTTTACCCTCAGCCTTAATGACCTCTAGTCAGAAAATTTCTACAGCAATGATATATCATTATTTTATGTTTTATGTATTTAGTACAGGGTCTACAGTGTCTCACTATACAGACTGGACTCGTAGTCTTCCTCCTGTGTTCAGCCTCCCAAGTGCTAGGATTACAGGCGTGTGCCACCACGCATCGCAGTTGCTATCTCTGGGGACAGGGCCAGCCAGCACAGCATGCCGAGGATCAAACCCCAGTCGCTGCGTCTGCCTAAGCAGGTGCTTTAGTCCACTGAGCTATCTGACCAGCCCTAGATCATTATTTGTGATAAGAATTGTCTTGCTTATTCTCTGGCCTTAAAAAGTTCAATAATTGAAAACTGTACAACAAGGAAGTAGCAAAGGGGGGAACATTTTTTTCTTTAAATTCATGTTTATTAAATTTTCAGAAAACACCAATTCAGACAATCAGAATTATACAATTACACTGGCAAAGAGGAATGAACACTGTTTGAAACTTACAATCATGAAAGAATACTTATTTCATAGATAATCATCCAAAACTTGATTTGCTGCTTACAGATCACAGATGATTGAAATGGATTTAAAGAAACTAGATGAGAAAATTCTAACTTCTTCTTAAGCAATGTCCATGTTATTATTATTATTATTATTATTATTATTATTATTTTTTTTTTTTAGTGGCACCGAGGATGGAACTCAGGCCCTTGAGCTTGCCAGGGAAGCACTTATTCTACTGAGCCATCTCCCTGACCCCTATGTCAATGTTATTAACCTAAATCTGACCACTATGAATACACTGTTAACGAAAGCTAGCAAAGTTTTCCTTTTCAACAGAGAAGTATTTGAATAAATTGAAACGTAAGGAGAAACACTCCTTAAGACTATGACTTCACCTTTCTAATTGTTTAGGACTTTCTCTGGGGAATGATATTATATTGAAGTACCTCTCACAAAAGAGTTGGGTGGGACCACAGGCTCTAAAATCATTTGAGAAACAAATGACACTCTCTTGAGTATAGTGTTAATCCTTTATTCAATCTGAAAGTAAATGGCATGTCCCGTACTTCTTGACATACAAAATCCATTTGGTCTAGATCTCTTAGCAGTTTAATCCTGCACTCACAACCAACCTTTCCCTCTTAAGGAAGTTATAATGAGAACAAGAGTCAGGGGGCATGTGAAGAATATCTGCTGGGCCCTCTCAGTTACAGAACACTTCTGTGCCATGCATTGGGAATTAGCCCTACCTGGCTGTATTTCGATTTGGCTTTGGACCTATGCTCCTTGTAATCTCCCATGCCATATTCTTTAAAAAAGGAGATAAACTTGCACATGTAGACTTTGACCAACTAACTGCTCTAGCGTAGTTCAAATGATTTACACCTGAGTGATGATGACCCTGAGGTAGATATGTGGACTGTTCTTAGGAAAAGGAGCTTATATTTGGAGAACATACCTAACATGACAGGCAGTATGTTAAGAAATGGACGTAATTTTCTTGTTGAAATTCTCCTTATGATTTCTTCTTTTTGTTTTTATGTATTTGGTACAGGGTCTCACTGTGCAGATCAGACTTATAGTGATCCTCCTGTTTTCAGCCTCCCCAGCACTGGGATTATAGGTGTGTGCCACCACACCCAGTTTCATTGCCTGCTTAGCATGCCTGGGGGTAGGGATGGGGCCCTTGTGGCACATGGTGTCAGCTATCAATCCTGGGTCCCTGAGCTTGCCTAAGCAGGTGCTTAGTCTGCTGAGCTATCTCGCCAGCCCTCTCCTTATATTTTTATGTGAGCTTCAATGTCCTCCTCTTTTTAAAAGTAATTGGGGTAATATCCCCAAAGACTATTATGTCTCCTGAGTTATTTTAAGTAAAATTCCTCATAAACTTATATCAAAGGTTATTATGAAAATTAAATGGGACCCAGAGAAAGCAGGATAACCTAGTTATTAAACCCTTACCCATAAATCAAGCAGTATAGATATTTCTTTCATGTATTTTATCTCATTTGTAACTTCATGTTAAAAATAAGGAAAATGCTTGGTGTGGTAGTGCCCACCTGCAATCCAAGCACTCAGGGAAGCTGTGGCAGGAAGACTGCGAGTTCAAACCATAGCCTGGAAAACTTAGTGACTCTGTGAGATCCTGTCTCAAGGTAAAAAAGTAAGAAAAACACTGAGGCTATAGTTTATTGCAAAGGCCCTGGAGTCAATCTCTGGTACATATGTATGTAATTATACACATACATACAGAAATAAGAAGCTAAGCAATGTACCCAAACTATTTTTCACCAGTGGAGAAACTTCCACCAAGAATACAGAAAACAAATACAAAGTGCTCATAATGTGTCAGGCAATCTGGCTCAAAGAACTTTTTGGCATAAACTTTGAGAAAATATTTGAAGGTAGGACAAGGTAGAAAGGGAAGAAAAAGCCAACTGCGTTGTTCTGGCCATAAGAGTTAAGATAGCAGATCTTAGCTATCCAGGGGGTGACACCGAGCAGGAATGTAAAATACAGGGGAAAAAACCACTATGCGTCATCAAGCAATGACACCAAATGAGATTTCCTCAGAAGAAAACATAGCAGGTAGACAGCTGAGGGTAGAGCCCTAAAGGCCTCCATATTTAGGTCTGAGAAGAGGAACAGTCAAGCAAAGCCCCATAGAAATAGCCAATGAAATAGAAGAAAATCACAGGAATCTGGAGTCATGGAAGCCAGGAGAGAAACATTTCAGGGAGGAGAAATAACTAGTGATGTTGAACCAAGTAAAATACAAAGAAGTCACCACCAGTTTTAGCAAAAAGGTGATCTTCCCTGAACAGAGGAGTACCAAGTATATGTCAAAGACTGCGCACTAGATACACCAGGGAACAAGCAGGGAATTTCTCCCCTCATGGAATTAGTAGTGTTCTAATAGAAGGAAAGAGACAAACAGTGAAATGACAGGATGTTAGCTGGTGGTTATAAACACTTTCCAGAGGAATAAAGCAGAGGACGAGGGTTCTGGGTAGGGAAGGGTGGAGATTCAAATGTGGTGGTCAGGTGATAGTCAAAGACATGAATGGGAAGTGGGAGGGCACCAGGCAGGGGTTTGTGGGAGATACCAGCTGCCATCGTGCCAATAGGATTAGGCAGGCTGGTGTTGATAATAAACACACTGCAAGGCTAAGCAGTGGAGAAAAGGGCCGAAGCAGGGAAATTTGGTTAGGAGGCAATGACTGTAATTTAAGTGAAAAAATAGTGGGGCTTGGACCAGCCAATAATAGCAAACACAGCGAGTGTGTGGACTCTACATATATCAAAAAGCCAGACAGAAGTTTAGAGATCAGGAAGACTATGTGGTTGAAGGTATAAATTTATGAGTGGGCACAATCCATCCGATGTTTAAATCCAGGAGCCTAGTTAGATGAGATCACCAACTGAGGACGGAGAAAATTTGTCTGAGGACTGATCCTTGGGACAGCCTGGACTATGCAGATCTGAAGAGGAACCAGCAAAGTGTGGGAAATAAATGCAGATGGCCTGGAGGGCTTGATCCCTCCCTACCACACACTGACAGGTTGAGGGCAGACACAGCTAGGTGCTAGCAACAACCCAAATGACCATCCGTGGAGGAATGGATAAAAAAAAAAGATGTAGTATTTGTATACAATGGAGTATTACTCAGCTATAAAGAAAGATAAACTCAAGAGTTTGATGGGTAAATGGAGGCAACTAGAGACCATACTCATAAGTGAACTAAGTCTGACCCACATGTGTAAACATTATATTGCCTCCCGAGAGTAAGAACCTGAAAGAGTAAATAAAATCCCAAAGGTATAATAGATACTGTGGAAAGGAAAGAAACTGTTTAAAGGGGGGAACAACTGGGATGAGGGAAAGGAGGAAAGAAACGAGGAAGGGGAAAAAATAAATGCATATGCATATATGCAGGATACCTTGGATAACTGTACTGCTGATTTCTGCTTGTCTATTGAAAGGAGTAGTGAATGCTTAATCTTTTCTTCTTTTTCAGTTTTTGACCAAATTTTCACACTTGCGTCTGGTAATCCGAACAACAAATTTGAAGACAATATGCAATGTAACAACCAATGTTGAATTCCTATCATCTTTAGTGAAATTCTGTATTATTCCTAATTTCTTTCTTTCTTTTTTCTTTTTTTTTTTGTGGTATTGGGTATTGTATTCAGGACCTTGCACTTGCCAGGCAAGGACTTATTCTACTGAGCTATCTTCACAGCCCTACTATTTTTTAAACTATTCTCTTTATAAAAAAATGTTAAAAACCAAAATGAGGACAGAGATGGCCTAGGTGTAGCCTGTTTAGCACATGCGGTACTCTCAAAATACTCTGCCTTGGAGCCAGCTGAGTATAGACTGAAACTCCAATCCAGTAACTCCAGGTTTGAATCCTAGAACTGGAAAAAAAAGATAATTACACTGGATGTGTGTGATCGTCCACAGAGGCCGTGATAATATTGCAGAAGGGTGGTCTGACTGGAATGAATTCAACAGAATGGGAGCAGAGGAAATGGACTGAGAATACAGCAACTCTTGAGAAATTTTGAAGCAAAAAGAGAAGCTGTGCAATATCCAGGAAGAAAGCGAGCTTTCTACTACTTTTTTAAAAAGAGAGCCCAGCATATTTTATATGCTGAAGGGAAAGACCTAGTGCAGAGTAAAGTGAATGATACGGCAGAGAGAAATGGCTGGAGTGGTGTCTGAACCTAAGAGCGGATCTCCTGCCAGAGGGAAATCTGGCCCTGTTGGGCAACAGAGACAGCTTGCACACACTGTGTAGGACACGTGGAGGTGGGAAGCCTATGGAAGTGCTCGCTTGGCGTTTTCAGTGAAGTGGCAGTCCAGGTCATCATTCCTGAGAATGCGGGGAGCTGTCTAAAGTTTAAGAAAAGAACAGTGCACAAGAAAACAGGGAAAATGAATGTATGAGGGAAATAAAAATTCTATGGTGGCATTGAGGGGCCACGTGACACTACCACAGTTGTGTACTTTGTTCTGCCACACGAAGGTACATACCTACAGGCATGGAAGACGGCTGGAACTATGCCGGAAAGCTGGCTGAGCACGATGGAACAAGGACAGGAAAGAGGCATTCAGCATTCAGTGAATCCATTCATCTCACTCAGACCCAGTGGTAGCAGAGAAAAGGGAGCAACCACCGCTTAGCTTATGGGGAACCTGCGTCGTGAGGTAGGGGCAGGATTCTTTTAGAGCAAGAAAAGTGAAGGTGTGCTCAAAGAAGGATACATGGAATTTGGTTTCTCTTGATGACAGCTTTTTTCAACAAAGTGGGTCAAGGAGCAGATAGAAGAAGAGAAAGTTGATGAAACAGTGGACAAATTTTTCAAAAACTAAAAAGGCTCTTAAAGATGCTGGAGTTAGGTGAAGGTCAGAGGCAAGGTTTGCATCCTAAGTTGAGAGACAGTAGGGCATGTTTTTATATCACTGGTAAAGATCTAGCTCAGACGACAAAAGCACTGACAATATAGCAGAAATGGGACAAATGTGGGGATCCTTGGAGAAGCAAAAACTGGCAATGTCAGAGGACAATAGGACACAGGCACAGTTTAAGCTCTGGCTCGAAGAGATTTCATGGAAAGTGGCAAAGGCGGCTGCAAGCAGGAGGAGTACTGGGCAGTGAAGTGGGGCATGGAGCTCTCTTTGCTACGTGTCTGTCCTCCCAAGGATGAGCTAAGGTTACCATCTAAAAGCTGGTAAAGAAAGTTATAGACTTGATAAAAGAAAAGGAAGGGTGAGGAGAAAGTCCTGAGGTTGGAAGATGAATTTACCAGGGAACTGCGGCATGTGTGGGGCGTCCAGTGCCCACCTGGGGTTCGTCACTGTGGTTGCCCAATTTCCCACCAGGCCTTGCTGCTGGAGTTCAAATGCTGCCAAGTGAACTAACAAAAACTGATGTTTTTACCAGATAGATAAAACTGAGAAAGCAAGACACAGTGGTGACAGGATGGCAGGAATGAAGTGGTGTGGACGCTGGACCACACATTCTGTGCTCCATGAAGACGCAAGGACACGAAAGGAGCAACGAGCAACACAGAATGTTATAAGCAAGAAACTAAAAGCAAGGAGGAAGTTAGAGAACTACTGAAAAGAAAAATCTGAGGTAATCAACGCAAAAGAAGGTAATCTGAGGTGGAACAGAAAATTAATATTTTGGAGACAACATAATGTTCTCTCTCAATTTTAAAAAAGTATTAGTCAAATGGTAAAATCTTTATATTGAAGTTGATCTTACTTTTGGTTTACATTTATAAAACACTTTTGAATTAATTACATCACTGATTTGGTCAGGGTTTGGTGAGGAGTCTGAGTTAATATCTGACTAGAATTTTACAATTGTCATATGAGGGAACACTACGGCCTTATAGGGTGAGCAGCCCTTATCTAAAATGCATAGGACCGGAAGTGTTTCGCAATTTTTGAGTTCTGAATAATTTCCATATTCATGGTGAAGTATCTTAGGGATGGGAGCCAAGTTTAAATACAGAACTGACTTATGTTTCCTATGTAACGTAGCCTGTAGATAACCTTCTACAGTATCGCTAGTGTACCAGCATTGTGACCACCTGACCACAGACCAGGTATGGAATTCTCTCCCTTCACATCATGGCTGTGCTAAAAAGTTGTGGAGTTTGGATTTTGGGGTTATGGGTGCTAAGCCTGAAGAGGGAACCACTAAAATTTAACAGGAGAAAAAAAATCTATAAAACTGTTTTGACATCAAATATGACATATCATGATTAAGATAACTAAATGCCCATTTTATAATAGAACTGTTATCATCAGTAACTTTAAAGATTAAAGTCATAATATATTTAAAAAAGGATCTGCTTAAAATGGCAAATACTTTGCTGTTACAAAATCAAAAATAAATATAGGTAAAAATGTTTTATTCTATCACTGTGTCAATCAAAATTATAAGAGTATAAACAAATATATATCAGAAGACATTAGGTGTGAATACCTATAGTATACAGTTACAAAGTCAAGGCATCATAAAAATTTCAATTTATTTAAAAAAATAATTGTCAGTAAAGTAATAGCTAATCTTCAGCTTGCACTGTATCTAATTAAACATCCAGCTTACACAATTCCATTTTCTCCAACGGGAAACTGGGTGGGATCAAGTCCCACTTTCTTCATCGATACGGCAATATCAAACAAATAGTCGTAACACTCACACCTGTAAAAGAAGACATCGAAAATGCTCACTGAGACCGAGTCCTCCAGACCGAGCAGCTCCGTCTCCCCTCTAACCAGTTCCTTCTGCACTGTTTCTAGTACCTGCACACTGCCCCCCTCCGCTCTAGGCCAAGATTTTATTTTATCCCAAACAATTTTAAAGTCAGCAAAGGAATCACACTTAATTTTCCCCCCATTAAAATCAGCAAAGGAATCTTGCTATCTTTTATACACTTCTCAGGAAATAAAAGCATCTTAAACTTACTACTTCTACAAACATTTTTTACTATGCGCCGTTTTTTGAAGTAAAACTTATATTTCTTAGGATCGCTTTCTCTTCTTTGGATCAAAGTCCACAGAACTTTTCCAGGTCAGAGCTGCTCTAATAAATACATCTCAGTCACTATATAATAAAATTCAAATATTTGTAATTCATAATGATAAACTAAACTTAAATCAATTTTTTTTTAACATATGTAGTACAGGGTCTACAGGGTCTCACTACACAGAGCGGACTCATAATGATGCTCCTGCTTTCAGCCTCCCAAGTGCTGGGATTACAGGCGTGCAACACCTGGTCTCAGTCCTGTCTCAGAGTACCTCAGGTGCGGGGCCGGCAAGGCATGCTGGGGACCAAATCCTGGTCCCTGCACCCACCTAAGCAGGTGCTTTAGTCCGCTGAGCTATCTGGCCGGCCCTCTTAAATCAATTTGAACAAGAACAACTCCACAGAAAACCCTACTTCCCTTTAAATATTAAGACAAGGTTTGTTCATTTTTATATGTAGCACATGGTGGTATCGCAAATGCTCTTGCCTCGATGCTTACATGGTTTTAGCCTTCTCCCAGGTTTCTCCCCATACATAGACTCCGTGGCGCCTGACCAGCACGGCACAGGAGTCGGGGTACTCATTCATTGCCCAAGCCATGCGTTCTTTGAGGTCCTTCTCCTCGGGAGTGTTCTCAACGATGGGTACCACTAGCATATCAGTGTATCTGTAGGAAGAGACAAGCCATTTCCCCCATTAAAACAAATTAAAGATCTTCCTATATACAGTGCATTTTAAATTTTTCAAGTAATTAGCTGTTCTCTCTGGAAAGCCACTCCAAGGGATGAACAAGATGTCGCACGTTACTCTGTGTGTCTTGTATAAACGTCTGTGTCAAAAGATACCTTGGGAATTTGGCAAACGATGCTAAGTGGTGGAAATGTGTACATGCTGAAACCTAACAAAGATATCATCAAGATCATACAAGTATTTCCTTGAAGCAAAGACAGTCATAATATTTTTAGGAGATGGGAAATTATAAAGCTCAGACTCAGAAACATAGAAGAATTGAAAGTATCACTGTCTCATCTCTGCAGGACTCGGAAGTATCCTGGACAGCACATCAGTAAACACAGGTGAAGCTTGTCCAATGGGACAGAAAAATCTTTTAGAAATAGCTACCAAAAGCACGATTATACTTTCGGGATATTTTCAAACTTATAGCATTAGAACTTCTTTTATTTCTACTTTGGTCTTAGTAAATGCCTGCAACGTAAACTGAATGTAATAATGTCCAAACAACTGAGTTACTAATAAATTTATTCTTTTTTTTTTTGTACTGAGACTTGAACACAGGACCTCATACTTTCTAGGCAGGTGCTGGGCTGCTGAGTGATATCCATGGCCCACATAAATCTATTCTTAACGTCACAAAACCAGTGAAAGCTCAGATGTGTTTTTCTTTTTACAAGAATTTCTCTCACACTGTTAAAGTAACATCTGCCTTTCCCACCCGTGTGTTAACCTAACCCCCTGCCAAGAAAAAGTTAATCTAAAGCGTTATCATTCATATCAGCAATTGGTCCTTCAAGGCAGGCATACAGCAAGTAGCTTCCACGGGATTAAAACTTGGCTAACCACTTCATTAACAGTATGGAGTTGCCCCTTACTTCACTTTAGATGAAACAGAAAATATCTCTGAGGACAGAAGGAATGAACTATTAGTCCCAAATCTTTCCTAAACAAACAAGGTTAGAACCATACACTGAATAGTCAGGAATATGTTTATGTGCAAACTAACTGATTAGCAAAATAAGACTTTAAAAGCTAATTCAAGCCAATTCCTCCATCGTCCAGACAGGCTATGGATCCTGACCTGCTGACCCAGAGCATGCTGGGGCAGTCCTTCGACCATCAGTGTTCTTGTCACCTTACACACATGAGGATTCCCAAGGGAAGGATGATTAGAACAACACGTGAGCCTTCCATGGTAAAAAGTATTTTAAAGCTGGTGCTGGGGTTATAGTTCAGCGGCACAAGTGTCCGCCTGGCAAGTGCAAGGTCCTGAATTCAATTCCTGGTACAAAAATTTAAAAAAAAAGAACTTAAACCTGGTTTTGTACATGGGTGTGTGTGTGTGTGCGTGCGTGTGTGTGCGTGTGTGTGTGTGTGTACACACTAGAGATTGAAATAGGCCCTTATATATATATACCAAGCATATGTTCCTAACATGAGTTACATGCTCAACCTTGTTTGTTTTTTTTTAAAGACAGACTTTTCTCTAAGAGTAGAGAATGTTAAAACTCTTTCCCTTCTTCTTCCAGTTTTTTTTTTTTTTTTTTTTTTTTTGTGTGTATTTAGTACACAGTCTACAAAGTTTACAAGGTCTTATTATGTAGTTGGGGCTATAGTGATTCTCCTCTTTTTCAGCCTCCCAAGCTCTGGGATTACAGAAGTGTGCCACTACGCCCAGTCTCAATCCCCACCTCGGCACACCCCAGAGGTGGGGTCAGCACGGCATGCCAGGGATTGAACCCTGGCCACTGTGCTCTGTCTCAGCAGGTGCTTTAGTCCACTGAGCTATCTGGCTGGCCCCTCAGTTTGTTTTTAAATTTTTTGATACAGGGTCTCTCTATACAGCTCAGACTAATAGTGATCCTCCTGACCCAGCATCCCTGGTGCTAAGATTATAGGCATGTACCACCGTACCCAGATCTGGGGCTGGCATGGCTTGTGGTACCAGGGATCAAACTCAGGACCTTGTACTTGCCAGGCAGGCACTTATGCCACCAACCCATCTCCCCAGCCCTTCTTCCAGTTTTTAATTAACCCCCCTTTTTTTATTAGTCTTAGGATTTGCTCCAGATTCAAATCAAATATCACTGTTTCCTGAGCTATGATAATGATCCTACTTCTCATTTTCCAGTAAGGCCAAACTAAAACTGCAAAGGGCATCTTAAAAGAGTTTTGGGCTGGGGAACAGCTCAGTGGTATAGTGCTTGCTAGCAGGTACAAGGCCCCATGTTCAGTCCCCAGCACCACACAAAAAGGTTTTTATTCTGCAAATTCTGAAATGTTATGAAAGATAAATATCATCTTTTTATTGATGTCATTCTTTCTCCAAAAATTCCAAAGGCAATTAACGTTTTGCTCCTACCTCACCATTCTCTGTATTCTTTGGACCTATTTTATTTCTTCACCAAAGCAATCAAAAGCATATAAAGGTGATAGCAGCTGAAGGCCTCTCCTTCAAGACCAGGGATGGAAAAGACAATACGGGACCAACTTCTTTTAGTATGTATACTTTTTCAATTAAGTTTTATAAATAGTTGTTTTCACAGTATTGAGAAATGCTTTGGACATACGATAAATACGAAGTGAAATAAAATCAAATGAATTTCTCAGCACACCAGTTAGAACATGCACATTCCATTACGTGCAGTGACAATAAGACATTGCTGTGAGAATACTTTTGTACGACTGGCATCACAAGGGGGGCTATCAGGTTCTTCAGGAAATTAAGAAAGGTCAAAGTTCATGAAGAATGCAACAAACCTGAAGGGAAGACTCAGCATGTACCTGGGCACCGAGGACATGTTCTTCCCAGTCATTTTATCCTAGATAAATAAATAATGACTCGAATTTGGTAGGCTGGTATGTGTATTTAAATTTATCTGTGAAATCTCTGTTCTTAGAATCCGTGCTACCTTCTACGTTGGAAAATTCTAGAACTTAGTAATGAACTTATTTAAAACAATCAGAAAACTTTTCTAAACTTCAAGTAACTTTTCTAAACATTGAGAAATGCTTAACTAGGTCAACATGAAGTCTAAAACTCTAGTTAGGTCCAAGCTTCATAAAGACAAAGTAAAGATGAAGACAACCCGATCTCTTCAGTATAGGAGCATAAGTTTTCCATCTCTAGAAATCTCAGCCAAGGTTTTTCATTTTACTCTAACAAATACTTTGTTATTTGTGTTGCTAATAAATTACCATGGTTAATGAAGGGCGGGAGAAGCACTGTGTTTAGAAATGTAGTATTGCATGAGAGGTATCATTTAATGAAGATTTCCCAGTGTATCAACATATGCACAAAAAAGATCAACATTCTACTTACCAAAGAGAAGGAAACATATGTTTTAAAGTAAGCAAAATATAAAAAGGGCAGATAATAATACCTATAATACCCCCCTGAGGTACATTTCCTTATTCCTTTTATCATCTCTTGATGTGTAATTTTAAACTCTCGTCCTGGAAACAGAAGGGTGGCCATGACAGCAGCTTTAGAGTGCGTATGAATCACCGCACCTGCTCCTAAGGGAAGAAAGAGAAATCCTCAGGGATAATAATTGTACATTTTCCCCCTGGCGTGGGACTGAGGAGTGAACCCAGGACCTCTGCACTAACCTGTGGCCCTAACCCTTGTTAAGTTTTTAAATTTTGAGACAGGCTCTTGCTTAGTTGCTAAGTTGTGCAGGCTGGGCTCCAACTTCGATCCTCGTGCCTCAGCCTTCCAGAGGGCTGGGATTCCAGGTGAGCACCTCCACAGGCACACGGTATATGGAATAACTTTACAATAAAAATACTTGTATGCATATGGGTGCACATACATTTATATAACATAGATGGCGACGAAATTAGTTTTGCTGGCCTTGAGTAAGCTGGTGCTGGGAAGGAGAGCAAAGGGAGTAGTAATGGACCTGCTTCATAAGCTCACGTGAGAACCGACAGAGTTACAACGTTTAATGTTTTTGCACATAGTAGGTTACACTAACTAATATAATAATTACTATTAGCTAGGGGAGGCTGCTTTGCGAATAGTTTTGGTGGTAACCATGTTTTCTACATACCTCTCATTGTATAAGCATTCATAAAAAGAGGAGTACACTGGCTTTTCTTTAGCTTCTTAGATTCTGGAGGCCCACTTATATCCTGTTCATTTATATCACAAACGAACATATCTTCCGGCTACTTAGAGAAGGAGAAAGAAAAAAGAAGGCACATACAATTAACAGTTAGAAATGCCCTTCATTCTATGTGCAAACATATATACATACAGATGAAAATATGTACACAGACATATAGGATACGTATGTGTATAGGTATATAGTACACATACATATATGTAGTGTTAATATATATACGTTCATGCTTATCTCTCATTTTAAAACATTGCTGTACTTCTTAAAAAAGGTTATTCGTGTTGAAAAATAAAGTTTTCAATTTTAGCATTACTGAGAAATAAAAGTTTTCCACAACAAGAATTTTCTGAAGAGTTTAAAACACTATTTTCCCTAAGAATTTGGAGGAAAAATGGACATGGAAAATTAATATGTATGTACTGATGTTGTTGTCATTTCTGATGTAGCTTAACTTTGTCCTATAATTTTGCAACTATATTTCAAGAAGACAATACAAAAGAAATCAACATTCCATGACTGTGTTCTAATTTTTTTCACGAAGGTCAAAGTAATATTTGAGAGTAAAATTTCGTATCTCCTAAGAAACTTATCTGGCACTCAGAATGATTGATCTAAATAAGGTATATTATTCTTCAAGTTCTAAAAAAGCTTGTAAACCACCAATTTTTTTCTTAATAATGCATGTATTTCTAATTCATAACTTCTGTTTGGCAGTTTATTATAAACTATGATATAAATGAATTATTAATGAAGCAGTTTTTTTCCCTTAGCTTAGATAGAAATTCTATGTGTGGTTTACCTAGATTTTGAGCATTATTCCAGCATTAATGTAGAATGAAGTTTCTCCATTATAATCATGTTTTATTAGGATTAAGATTGTGCTGTTCACTTTGGCTCCCTATAGGCTGAATGAGATTTCAAAGTACACATGGGTTACGAGGAAGATATAAACCACTTTAACATAACATGAGTCAGTACATGTTTTTTTCATTAGCTATTTAAATTATCACAGTATAACCGACCACCCTTCAAAAACAGCATAACCTTTTAGAGGTTTTCATAAAAGAAGAAAAGACTTTGGGTTTATAAGGGGTCCCTTTACTGTACCTGAATTCGTTCCTTTTGCACTCCTGAAGGGGCAATGTAGATTTCACTGCTGGTAACATAAAACATAAACAATGGTTTTTATTCAACTAATTTTCAGTGTTTGCACAAAGTACATCTTAGCAGTCCTATACTTCGCATTCATTAGAAATCAAATTATAGCAACAGCAGCATGGTTTCATTAAGGACTGAGGCTGCACAGAAAGACGACCACGCTACCCCAGGCCTTTGGAATGCGGGGGTCTCACATTTTCATACATTCTTATTTCTTTTTTGATGCAAGCTAAATGGTAACCAGGTTTTGATCTAGTTAGAGGAAAGAAAAACCTGAATATTTAAGTGTTTAGCACCTTAAAGCTTGAATAAGCAGAGCTTATCTTATTAAACATGAAATACAGTCACTTCAAAACTCAATTGGGGGAAAATACACTCCGCAAGACACATTTCTGTCATGCAAAGTCAGATTTAATTTTATTGCTTGACATGCCTGTTACGAAGTATGAAGCTCAGAGACCTCTGCCGGTCAGCTTCTTCCATTACAGCATTACTAGGAGGTTACTTTCTGGATAGAACTATATTGCCTATTTGAAAGCTCAAGTTTCTTGGGAAACAGCATAAACTTAAAAATGTTCAAAAAGTTAAAAATATCAAAAGGATGGCTAGATGTGGAGACTGATTTCTTTGTTATAGGATTTTGTGTTAAGGGAGATGCTATACTCTGTCGTTTTTTGACCAGGTAGTTTCCAATGTCATTTTCAAATTAATTTCTCCACCACTGTCAGTTTCCACTGTTGACAGAGTATGAACGAGCTGTGGTATAAAGGCAGATTAGGGGAAGGCTGATGCTGTAGCTGCCACCTCTGAAGTTCAGATGCAGGGACACTGCATAAGAACCCAATGCTTCACAGTATAAATGATGATGAGGACCTATGGCAAGCTGTCAACTTCAGGCTAAGAAAACTATAGACTTGAACTGCCAAAAATGTCACGTGAAATCGAAGTTGCTCTAAGGCTCGATTGGTAAAGTCTAGAAAACAAGTGCTTGCTAATGCGAGTGAAATCCAAAGCAGAATAAGCTGCGCGCACACATCAACTTTCAGGAAGTAGCCAGTGTTTTAGAGCCCTGAGATGTAGTGTGTCAGAGAGAGGTCCTGTCCTGGAACCAGTGAGGACAGTAGGGCTCACATGGCAACAGGGGCCCCTTGCTAATACTGGTGGTCTACATCTTTTGTCCTTGTGTAACATGGAAGAATCCTTTACAGGTAAGTGGACCACAGGTCTTCCTGCATAAGGAGCAATTTATATAGCCCTGGAAATAGACCCAAATGAAGTACAAAATAACCTCCTGGCAAATAAAATCCACCTACAAAGTAGGAAAACTGAGGTATTTACTCTGTTAATCCGTACGATTTGACACGATAAATTTATTTTATTACTGCCTTTGTACAGTATAAACTTTGATCAATTTGGGGCAATTAAAAGATTAGCTAAATACATTTTAGACAAAAATGTATTAATTCCTACAGAGAAATACATGGATAAAATATAAAGATGATAGAGCTTTTAAGAGGGCAACATGCAGGAGACTACAATGAAATAGCTTTCTTTGTTGTTGTTGTGTTTTTTTTGTGGAACTGGGGATTGAACTCAGGCCCTTGCGCTTGCCAGAGAAACACTTATTCTACTGTGCCATCTCCCCAGCCCTGAAACGTTTATTGGGTACTGCAAGCTACAAATAAAAAGTATTTTGAATTCCAAGGTATTCAGCTTTTGCAATTTATTTCTATATTCCCTGCTGTTTCACTGTGTTGTAAACAGGAATGAAACCCAAGAGCTCATAATATATTTATGTTCAATTACTTCTTTTTCTTTACTCTCTAGTGATTTTAAAATATCATTTAAATCTTACTGTGCCTCAGTGATCTCATCTGTAATATGGTTTTATTAAATGTAATTCTTACTAATAGTATACAATAGGATTAGTGTCTCTGACACATAAACTTGTGTTACAAGTGAAAATACTAATGTTGAATGGTAGAGACATAAACTAAACACAGTGGCTGCTGAATAGCCTGGAATTACCTTGATGACTGTTCTTTTCTTTTCTTTTTTTAAAATGTATTTGGTACAGGGTCTCTCTACACATCTCAGACTCATAGTGATCCTCCTGTTCTCAGCCTTCCCATTGCTGGGATTATAAGTGTGAGCCACCATGCCCGGTCTCTGGCTGGCTCAGCACGCCCACGGATGGGGCTGGCACGACATGCGGTGCCAGTGATTGAATCCAGTCCTGGCACTTGCCTAAGCAGGTGCTTAGTCCACTGAGCTATCCTGCAGGCCCTTGATTGTTATTTTCTTGATCCTCCATTTCCTCCTTCCGACTGATCTCTTATGCTTGGCATAGCCTGTCTTTTAATATACATCTTTTGATCCCTTTAGCAGTTGTGTAAAATAAAATGTTTTCAGGCAAACCTTGAAATCAGTCCGTTGTTCTGTATGTTCAAAAAGCTTATTGCCAATATTATTCTAGAAACATAACCTAATAAGTTTGTATTTCACTGTAAATTCATTTGCCCCAAGACTCAAAATCAGTCACCAGTAACATGAGGATGATAAAGCTAGCAATGTGGGCTCACGAAGTATTTCAATTTTACGAAAAAATACTCATATGTGTAAAACACAAGTCTAATAAATTCTAGTGTCCTAAAGCTGTGGCTTTTTCTGTCTGTGACCTCCAGGAGGAGCTCCTCACCTACTAAGAATCTAAGGAAAAAATATTTTGCACATGATGCAACTTTCCTATAAATTGATTGCAGTGCTATAAAAGCCACTTAATTTTAAAAGATGTGCCAGTAGGCGGTTTTGGTGACCACACACGACTGCAGTGCACGGATTTGAACAGTTCTGCTAGAATGAACAGCCTTGTGTGAGTTCCTGCTAAAAAAAAAAATCCCTCAAGTTCCTATTCCTATTTTTAATCTTGCTGCTTTTTGAAAAGAGCTAGTTAGAAATGATTATTTTTTCTCAATTTAGTAGCACACTCTATTTTGTTCACGTAAAAACTATTTTCTGCATATGCAAATAAACAGTAGTTAGTAAAAGGCAACATTCAGTATGACTTATTATCAATAGTACAGCAAGAAAGTCAAGTCACTGGGACTCAATTTCTAAGTGGATAAGTACAATAAGAATAAGCTGTTGTTAGCATAGGATTAGCTGTGAACAGGCCAATTTGGAAATTTTGACAAAATAATCTGAAGGCTTACATAATGCTCAATGCACACAGCAGCAACTGTGGTTAATGGCAGGTCAGGGCATGGGTAGGCAACAAGCTCTGACATGTGGGCACGACCCTACTGCACTCTGAGAACATTCTTACATCCAGAACTGTCCCAGCTGAGGGATGGAGGCCGTCCTGTTATTTACCACTGTTCAATTAATATCTCATGGATTACTTCACAATTTGAAGCAGATTAAATTATAATCACATCATCTTGTGGTATGTCATGAAATTCCTTTCATCTAAAATACTCTGATTTTATTTTACTTTGTATTTTATTCACTTTTCATGCTATAAATTTTATTTCCACGTATTTTGCTTTCTTATCAGGCAATGGCACCTCCTTGGGGGCATTAATGTACACATATGTATTCAATAACATAAATAGCTTAAAGTCCAATTTTATTAAAGAAAATGAATTATGACAAAATATATGTTAGCACCATCAGTTTTAACATTCAGCCTCCAGACAATATTATTCTTAAAGTATTTCAGGAGGAAAAACAGTAATCTTATTTTAGCAACCTGTAAGAAAATCAAGACTCCACAAGCTTTATTTTCATTGCCGGTAAGGTATTTATTCTTCACCTTGCAGGAAAGATATTGAATAAATATAATAAACAATAAAAAACTACTTTCTCTTACTGTTTCAATTTAAGTCAAATTCCTCTTGCTGTGTTCTCTGAGGAACAAAGACTAGAGGATACTATGTCCTTTAATAATGATATATCTGCTTAATGATAAATCCACCTAGCATACGGATTTTTTTTTTTTTTTTTTTTACAGACAAGATTTCATGCTTTAGCCTCTGGACAAGAAAGTATTTTACCATCATTTTTCAACAGAGACTAAAAAATAGAAAAGAAAACATTAGAAACGAAACAGAATTTCACTAAACAAAATGACAGGAATTCAACAATGGTTGTTATATTGTACGAATATTCTTATGAATTAATAAAATGTAATTTTTAGAATTCTTAATGGTTAGTATTCCATATTTAAGTGAGTTGAAAACATTACCTGAACCATTTATTTATTTATTTATTTATGCAGAACTGGAGATTGAACTCAGATCCTTGCGCTTGCCAGGGAAGCACTTATTCTACTGAGCCATCTCCCCGGCCCCATACCTGAACCTTTTAAAGCAAATCCTATCTTTCTAGAAAGGATTGTTTATAATTTCAGACCTATGAACATAGTAAGCAGCCTGTTGTCTAACGGATACTCCAAAGGCTAAGGGCTGAATTATTCTAATTAAAATCTGTGGTTCTTAAATCCTTAGGTCTTTATGATAGCTACAACTTGTCCGCACTGGTTCCATTCTGTTATGCAAATATCCATCTGACCAGTTAGAAAATAAACACCATCAGTTTCCCCTCCAACTGATCATCAGTCACTCCTTGGCCGCACCACAGGACAGGCTCCTGTCGCCTACGCAGATGGAGAATTCCTGAGGAGGAATCAGCCAGAAACTTACCCGCGCTTCAAGCTAATCCCTCCTCCAGTCCCAGTGACCCAGCCCAAATGGTAGAACTGTCTGCAAAGTTCTGGAATCAGGTATCTTGGATGGTCCTTGTCCTAAAGAAGAAAAGGGTTTTTAAAACAGACATTGTTATATCAAGTCACAGCTCCAGCTGGCGTTTCTAACAAGTGGCCAATGCAGGGAAGTTTAAGAAAAACTACCACGGAGCTGAGGCAGGGAGGGAGAAAACGGCTGCAGATACATTTTGTTTATAATGTTTAGAAAGTGGCTTTACTACATTGACTGGTAAGCTGGGATTATGCACTATAGGGCCATCGAGTCCAGTGGTGTGGGACAGGCTGCAAGAACAGGGTGGGAAGGTGGTTATAACAAAGGTCTACTGAAAAGACTGAAAGAAAATAGTATCTAGTGCCAAAAGGAACATGCTTTGGTCTATTCAGAAAATGTATTTATGCAAAACATCTTACTCAGTTAACACATCATATACATGAAATACAATGATGGGTATATGTTTGCCACATATTCTTTTGTTTCAATTTTACTTTATTTTTAAAAGTTCCTAGCTATTTTCCAAAGTGAACGTATTGTTTTATTACAAAAGCAATATATATTCATTATGGAAAATAAAAAGCAAACAGCATAGAAAAACATTCAAAAATCACAATAGGATTAGGGATTAAGGGTTAGGACTAGGTTAAAAAAATCACAATTAATACTTGCTGGAATCATTTCTATGATGATATGTGTTTATAGGAATATTGTATATGCATAGAGAATGACATACACATCAACTTTATATGTAAGTCCTATAATTACTTTTTTAGATTAAAAAAAGTCAATGTCCCCCTCCTTTTACAGTTTAATGAAAACAAAAACAAGAACACAGTGAATTCTATTTTTTGTGGTATGATATACAATCCTTAAGTTGAAATGTTAAAATACTGAATAATTATATTTACAAATATTTTGAAATAAATAGCTGAACTTGCAAGAAACTTTCACAGGGCCATAAAAGAAATGAGACTGAAGCTATTTTTCCTGTCTGTAAAACTCAGGTGACTCTGAGCTTTGGTTCTGATAGAAATTTGAGTCAAAATCTAAGGCCTGCTCAGAATGGGGACATCTACTAGCAAAGCCCCAAACAAGCTGAAGCCCTCAGAAAGGCAAAGCAAGAAAGCTTGCCTTGGTTCTGGGTAAAAGGAAAAACACCTCTGAGTCCAAAAAAGAATCATTCTCAGCTACTTAACTGGATACCTGAAATGGTGTTTCTAAATATATGTTTCATGTGAGGTAAGCGTGATAATCAGTGGAACAGCCTTCAATATATAAAATTACAAACAAGAATCTGAAAGGTATTGCTTGTTGGTTTCAGTTATTTTTTTGAGACATGGTCTCACTATGTATTTGAGACTGGCCTTGAACTCATTCAGGCTGGCCTTGAGTTTGTAGAGAGCCTCCTGCCTCAGTCTCAGGTGCTGGGGCTACAGGTACGCTTCACCATGCCTGGTTAGACCCCGGAAGGTTTTAAAAGTTCTGATTCAACATAAGCTTGGGAGTTAGCAATTTAGTGAAACCACATCATGCCATTCTTCTCTTACATGACTTTGAGTCTCAGTTTACCCATCAAATGTCACAAGGAGTAAAAGCAAATTCAGTGGAATATAAAGCACCCAGTACAATATTTGACTCAGTGCTACAGTACTTTCCATTTTAAAAGATTAAACATTCTTGAATTAAAATTGATTTTATTATTACCCTAAGATTAATAGTAAAATGGATGTTTTTCATATCTGTCTTTTCTTTTTTGACAGAACCAGGGATTAAACTCAGACCCTTACACTTGCCAGGGAAGCGCTTATTCTACTGAGCCATCTCCCCGGCCCTCTCATATCTGTCTTTAAGAAATGTAGTCAAAATTATGTATGCCCCATATAATTTGTTCCTTTTTTAGGGACACCAATGATATTTTAATTATATCTTAAAGGACAGATAATGGGATGACTCCTGCAGTTTCCAATCCTTAAAACCAAATTTGCACAGCAAATTGCAAACATTATAGAAAATGGTCTGTTATTATGGGTCTCCCCTTCCCTTGCATCTTTTCCAGGAGTGAGGCATTACAGCAATTAGCCAGCTCCACGCCACAGGAATAATGATGAGCAGGCGGTTGCTCTTAACACATTTTCCCAGTCACTCCAACCTGCAAAATCACAATTAAAGAACGATAATCAGTTAACGAGAACCAAAGAAATATGTTTGGTGGAAGGATGGTCATTTAAACTGCAGCAATGCATTCATTTAAACACAATCAGAAAGTAAAACCTGGGATATATATTTTTAAGAAATGACAAAGAGGAAAGGTTTACTTGGTTTCTACTTCTCCCTTGAATGCCAATAGTATTATTGTTATTGTTAGATTTGGTTTTCAATTAGAATATGAAATTTCTATATAACATAAACATCTACAGTGAGAAACATATGGAACAGTACATAGTATATACTAAAAATCCTAAAACCTACAATGTTTTTGGCTCACTATTTTATTTTACCAATTTATCTTTGCTTTTTTTTTTTTTCAGACTGAGAAAAAGGTTTATTTTTAAGAGGAAACAAACAGCATTAACACACATCCAAATGCCAGCACAAGGGTTCCTGGGGTTTTGCAAAAACAGAACATGGCCCTGGGGCAGCAGGTGAGCAGGGTTCCCACTGTCGGAGGACCACAGCTGGTGCTGACCCCACCAGACACTGCTTGGCTCAGAAGTCACAGCAAGGCCAGGAGAAACGGCAGAGGGCAAACCCTAGATCCTTCCCCCAACTCTGATGTGCTCTCATTCTGCTGTCAAGAATTAAAGTAATTGGCGGATCATTTTACAAAGAGCTTTAATACTGCAAAACATTTCCAGAAGTCCAGATCAGATTCAAGGCCATGGCTGAAGTTCTACAGGGAAACAGGGAGCCGGATTTCACAGGCCAGCGGGCACTACTCTAGTCACATGTGCTCGCAGCAGGAGACACGACTTGGGTCTCAATAGAAGCCGGTCTTTTTCATGATGCGCAGGAACTCCTGCTCGATGACCTCGCCGTCTGCATCTCAGTTGGCTTCATCAATCACCTCCTGAAGCTCCTCATCGGTCAGGTTCTTGCCCAGATCCTTGGCCACGTGCTTCAGATTTGTGAATACTGTCCCAGTTTCATCATTATCGAGGACAAGCTTTCAGGATTTCTTCCTTGGTGTCCTTCTCAGACATTTACTGAGTTTTCACAGTCAGAAAGTCACGGAAGTTCACTTTGCCTGTCCCCTCCTTATCAACTTCACTTATCATTTTCTTGATTTCTTCTTTCTTGGGCTCAAAGCCCAGGGCTCTCAGTGCCACCTTTAGTTTTTTTACATTGATGACAGTCCCAGTCCCATCTGCACCAGAGAGATCAAAAGCTTCCCAGATTTCCTGTTTTTGCTTCTCAGTCAGCTTTGGCTTAGGACTCATCCTTTTTCGGGGGGCACTAGATGCCATTGCAGCCAGACTCCTCATTTTTCCAATTTTTCAACCTAGGTACTTTAAGGAAATCAGCCTGGTCACTGGGACATCCATTCACGGTCTGCTTGGGTTCTCACTTCCTCACCAACCTTACCTTTTTTTTTTTTTAATTAAATCCTATATATGCATTATTCTTATAGAAGTTTTTTTGGAAGACTCTCATACAAATATAAATATGTCAGGCTGGGAGTGTAGCTCAGTGCTCGGGAGGTACAAGGCATTGGATTCTATCTTCAAAACCGAAAAAGTGTTAAAAATGTTAGAACTGGTTGAAAGGAGAATTCAACAGACTCATATGTAAGTAATCAGGAATCTTGAAATTATAAATAAAAATGATACTGTATAATAGCCACAGGGTAACAATAAAGTAAGTCTCTATTGAACATAACTTGTACTGCTATAAATAATGTTCATCTGCATTACTATCAGTATTCTATAATTTACTGTTGTAAAATAGCTTAAAGATAATCTGGAAGTATCCAGTAATCCTTTCTGCTCATGTCAAGGCTTCCTGACACCAGCCTCCAGAAGGGACTGAGGCAGGCATGGTGGAGCTGTGAGGAGGCAGTCTCCATTCTATCTCTGTCCCTCTCTGCTCAGCCATCTGCACCTTTCGGCACATCTCTGAGCACCCTAGTTTTCTCAGGAGCGTCACCTTCCCTCAGAAGCCCGCCGTCTCCCTTTGATTTTCCCACTCCAAGAAAATGCTTCTCCTCCTTTGCATCAGTCAAGCATGGACTAGAAGGCGAGGACACAGCCTGATTTCAGCTCACTCCCCCCTCACCCCAGCTGCATAACCATGGGCAGATCCATGGCATTTTTGGGCATCAGCCTCCTCACATTAATACTCTGGATCAGTGATTCTCAGACTTCAGAAATTCAAAACCAGTTTCCTTTTTAATTTTAGGGAATGGCATAATATTCCAAAATTATGACATTAATTGTAGTTAACTATTACATTTATTTATTTATTTATTTATTTTACTGAGAAAGAAATAGCAATGAGACAGTTTCAAAACAGGTTAGGACAGTTACAATAATTAATACATTGCATACTGTTCTATTTATTTATTTAGTTAGTGGCTGGCTCAGCCCACCCTGAGGCTAGTGGCTGGGGCAGGGGCTGGCATAACATGTGGTGCTGGAGACTGAACTGCGGTCCCTGTGCGCTTGCCTAAGCGTGCCTCAGCAGGCTCTTTACACTGCTGAGCTATCTCACTGGCCCAACTGTTACATTTAAAAAAGTGTATCTTTAACATAAAAAGAATAGGAAGGAGACTGTCAGAATAAAAAGTAATTTTTTAAATTGAATGCAATAACATTTTGTAAAATTCGTGGTTTCAGTGTCTTTCTTTTTCTTGTATTCCAACAGTCCTGGTAAAAAATTCTCAGGGACTGACATGTGTAGTGAAAGGGAATCTTTTTCTGTTTGGTCTCCTTGCCTGCAATTTCAACTAGTCCAGCTTCCCCTTCTTTCTACTGGGAGTACCTATTTAATAGAGTGCTTCGATCATCCGACTCTACTCTGCAAATTGTCTAATGCTTGAATATCACCT